AAACATGTGGTAAGGTCTTCAGTTGTTCCAGTTCCACATGAAGATAAGAACTCATTTCTGAAATAAAACCTATGAATGTATAGAATGTAGAAATGCCTCCATTTACATGATGTTTGCTCCAAGACCCATGAAAATACACACCGTAGATAGGCCTTATAAATATAAGAAAGCACATTGGGTTGGAACCCTGGTAGATTACCAAATACAGAAAAGTTTACAGTTTTAAGAATTTCTTCAACATCGATGTGAAAACTTTCCCTAGAGGGAAATCCTACTAATGTTCATAAATTGAAAAGCCTGATGCAAATTGATTCTTGTATAACCTCCAAAATGTACATAAGTAAATGTTATCCTTCTTCTGTTTTGTTTCTCAGTGATTCTTCATTTGAAAGGGTCTCTGTACTTACTTCCGCGTCTTTTGCAAGAAAACACTGAGGTTACAATTTTGTAGATACCCTTTAAACAATACTATATGCATTTAATAGGCAATATTTTTTTGTTAAGTCAGTTAACAAAACTTTTCTCTAGTTATTTAAAAATATCACACTGAGCTACTAGAATGCCTCCAAATTCTGTTTTGAAACACATGCAGGTGGGTTCCTACACTAATGTCCAAACAGGGCACAGCTGCTTGCAGTCCATTCTGCATCCAGCACCCCAAGTTTGGGATGAGGAGAAAGGTGACAGCCTCCTCTGTACTTGTGCAGCTGACTCGGGGCTCATTCTTGAGTGTCCATTGCACAACTCAGACTTCATGCTCACTCCCAAGGCACCGCAGTAGTGATCAGATGACAGAAATGATGGATGCCACTTATTAGCTGTCACTATTACAGGCCAGGAATACTCTTTACACTTCCAATGGCAGAAAGATCAGAGAGAGACATCTTGGCTAAACTAAACTCATTTTATGAGATGCTTTCTGTTAGAGCGCCAGCCTTACACAATATTTCTCCTGACTTGAGTTAGAAATGAAACTCCAAGGTGCGCAGCATCTGTCACCACTGGCCACAACAGAATGTGGGGATGAGTTGAATGCACTGAGAGGGGAACAGGCTGGAAGCAGCCCTCTGCCACATGATTATTCAGCTGTCCTGGCCAAAGGTTTTGTTTTTGTTTTTTTGAAACAGGGTGTTGCTGCTCTGTCATCCAGGCTAAAGTAAAGTGGCTTGATTCTAGCTCACAGTAGACTCAACCGCCCAGGCTCAAGTAACCCATGCACCTAAGCCTTTCAAGGCTTGGAACTATAGGCTCATGCCACTTAGCTGGGTGATTTTTTTTTTTTTTTTTTGAGACGGAGTTTCGCTCTTGTTACCCAGGCTGGAGTGCAATGGCGCGATCTCGGCTCACCGCAACCTCCGCCTCCTGGGTTCAGGCAATTCTCCTGCCTCAGCCTCCTGAGTAGCTGGGATTGCAGGCACGCGCCACCATGCCCAGCTAATAAGCTGGGTGATTTTTAAAAATTCTTTTTGTAGAGACGAGGTCTCACATTTTGCCCAGGCTGGTGTTAAACTCCTGTGATCAAGTGGATACTCCCACCTTGGCCTCCCAAAGTGCTGCTGCTACAGGCATGAGCCACTGTATCCAGCACTTGGTCAAACGTTTAAATAAATACAAAACTAGAGTAATCTTACCACTCCCATAGTAATCAATGTAAAGACTTAATTGTGTAAAAACAATAGCTCAACAACACATTTGGTTTCTTGCTTTTAAAGTTTCAATGTTTTATCCACTGGCTAAGTCAAGAAACGCTTGAAGTTCTCCAGTATGGAAAGCAGTTAGGATATAAGCAGATATGTGGTTTTCTCATTGGTTTCACTGAAAACCCAGCTGAAACTACTTCCAACATTAATTTCCTATTCATATAACCACAAAGCTATGATGGGAATGTAAATCAGATATTTGAATAATCAGCTGACCAGGACTTAATTTACTATAGGAATATATGCACTTCATAATCTCTTTTGTGTATTTCCATAAACATATTTTAACTATGTAAAATATGGGATTTCATAGAATGATCTTGTTTACTAATACTAGTTATTGAAGAAAATAATTATCCCTACAGGATATATATCTTCTTAGTTTTTCTTGTTTTTTAAATGGCTGAATAACATACCATTTACAAGCACAGCAAATTTTCTGACCAGAAACTACTCAGTTTAACTTAACATGTATGTGTGTGTGTGTGTGTATATGTGTATATATGTAAATTGTTTATCAATAATGTTTTTAAATTTTATTTCAATAGTTTTTGAGGAACAGGTGGTTTTGGTTATATGGATAATTTCTTTAGGAGTGACATCGGAGCTTCTGGTTCACCTGCCACTTGAGCAGTGTACCCAATATGTAATCTTTTATCCATCCCTCCCAACCATCCTCCCCTAGTCCCCAAAGACCATTGTATCATTTTATGACTTTGGATCCTTGTGGAGAATACATGATATTTGGTTTTCCATTCCTGAGTTACTTCACTTAGAATAACGGCCTCCAGCTCCATCCAAGTTGCTGTAAAGGCCATTATTTCATTCTGTTTTATGGCTCAGCAGTATTCCATGGTATACATATTCCACATTTTCTTTGCCCATTAATTGATGGGCATTGAGGCTGGTTCCACATTTTTACAACTGCAAACTGTGCTGCTATCAACATGCATGTGCGTTTGTCTTTTTCATATGACTTCTTTTCCTTTGGGTAGATACCCAGTGTGAGATAGCTGGATTGAATGGCAGTACTGTTTTCCACAGTAGCTGTACTAGTTTACATTCCCATCAGCAGTGTCAGTGTTCCCTTTTTACCAATCCATACCAGCATAAATGATATTTTGATTTTTTAATTATGGCCCATTCTTGCAGGAATAAAGTGGTATTACATTGTATTTTTAATTTGCATTTCCCCGATAATTAGTGATGTTTCTGAAGAAAAATACATTCTAACAAGACTAACAGATGTTGAAAAGTTTAAAGAAAAATCTGATAGACACTAATTTTTAAAAGTTTCGATTTACAGTCAAAAAGAGACCATTATAAATAATCAACAGCACGGGGAGAAGATAAATGTCCATTAAACACTTTGTTGTAATGTTTTTTAATCTCCAAAGATCGTGAACATAGCTCCTGTTCAGAGCATAGCTCCTGATGCTTCTGCGTTCACAAACGGCACTATGTCGAACCAGTCATCTTGGGGCTGGCCTCTGTCTCACTGCCTCTGGAGCTCATATCTGGGGAAACCTGCACATTTCCCTGTGCATTCTCTGACCTTGGAACTAGAGCTAGAGCCCCACAAGATTAGCTGCGGGTCTTGAGATCAATTTAACTGCCACTATAGTGGAGCTAAGTGTCCATAACTACAAATTTTGCTCCCTTCAAGAAACCAGTTTACAAGCTGGGCGCAGTGGCTCACGCCTGTAATCCCAGCACTTTGGGAGGCTAAGATGGGTGGATCATCTGAGGTCGGGAGTTCAAGACCAGCATGACCCATGGAGAAACAACATGGAGAAACCCCTGAAGGGGGAAATTAAATAATAACAATAGTAATCTGTAATTGCTACATAGTAAAGTTTAATCTATTGTGTTCAATATAAAACCTAACGCCCAGCTCTGCTTGAAATTAACTAACTCCCTGTAAAATCTACCCTATCTACTCTCCCCATTTTCTCAGCAAAGTTCCCAGGCATCTCAAGACTCCCATTTTTCTTGCAGACCAGCTGCAAGGTCACAGGGTAATATAACACCCAAAGAATGTGCAGTGTGTTTCTCAAAATGCGTTTTTCAAATGTAACGTACATCACGAGACATGTCACAAGTTAACTGTTCTTTGCTCTGGCTTCTGTAAACCTGTTAGCTGCTATGTCATCCCGGGTGTATAACAAATCAAGCCCTGTCTTTGTTAGGCTCTCAGCCTTGGGATGCAAATCCGCCGAGCTGGTGGCCTTTGTAATAAAATCCTCCTGTTTTACCCATTGGTCTTTCCAATCTCCTGAACATGGTGTAACACCCCACCTCTACTAATAATAGAAAATTAGCCAGGCGTGGTGGCACATGCCTGTAATCCCAGTTACTCAGGAGGCTGAGGCAGGAGAAATGCTTGAACCCAGGAGGCAGAGGTTGCGGTGAGCCAAGATCACACCATTGCATGTTGTTGCCTAGGCAACAAGAGCAAACTCCATCTCACACACACACAAAAAGATAAGAAACCAGTTTACAGATTGATGACAGTAGTGATTAAGAGAACTTTAGCTTCTACAACTTTCAAATGACGTTTATTTTCTGTTAAATCCTTTACTAAAATGGCTACTAGCAATATCACCATGACAATTCAGTTTATACTTATTAGCAAAGTGGTAACTTAGCAGCCATTTGAACAGCAACCAACTGTCACTAGTCTCTTCTTGGTTACAAGAAGCCTCATTTCAATTGTAAATATAGACTGTGTTAATTCTGAATGAAAGTCTTCAAAAAATTTTGGGGGGTATATTGTAGGTGTACATATTTATGGGGAATATAAAATTATTTGATACAGGTCTATAATGTGTAATAATCACAGTAGGGTAAATGGAAAATCCATCACACCTCAAGCCTGTATCCTTTTATTTATTTATTTATTTACAAATCATCCAATTACACTCTTTTAGTTACTATAAAATGTACAATTCAATAATTCGTGACTATTGTCACCCTGTTGTGCTATCAAATACTAGATGTTATTTATTCTTTCTAACCAAATGTGTGCACCTATTAACCATCACCCCTTACCCCTCTCATCCTCCATACTACTTTCACCAGCAGCTGCAAACAATTCTCCTGCTCTCTATCTTCATGAGTTAAACTGTTTAAATTTTTAGTTCCCACAAATAAGTGAGAATAGGTGCTTTGGCTTTTAGTGTCTGGCTTATTTCACGTAACCTTTCCATCCATGTTGTTGCAAATAACAGGATCTCATTCTCTTTTATGGTTGAAGAGTGCTCCATTGTGTATATGAACCATTTTCTTTAGCCAGTCATCTGTTGATGAATACTCAGAATGCTTCCAAATCTTGGCTGCTGTGAATAGTGCTGCAACATACATGAGAGTGCAGGTACCTCTCTGATACACTGATTTCCTTTCTTTTGGGTATATACCCAGCAGCGAGATTCCTGGATCATATGGTGGCTCTATTTTTAGTTCTGAGGACCTCCAAACTGTTCTCCATAGTGGTTGTGTTTAAATTACATTCCCACTGACAGCGTACGAGGGTCACCTTTTCTCTAAATCCTCGCTGGCATTTGTTATTGCCTGTTTTGAGAATAAGAGCCATTTTAAGTATGGTGAGATGATCTCTCATTGTAATTTTGATTTGCATTTCTCTGAAGATCAACGACGTTGATGTTGAGTATCTTTTCACATACCTGTTTACCATTGGTATTTATTAAGGAGTTTTCAAACAGGTCTCACTTTGTTAATCAGGTTGGAGTGCAGTGGCAGAATCACAGCTCACTGCAGCCTTGACCTAGCAGGCTCAGGTAATTTTCACACCCAAGCCTCCTAAACAGCTGAAATTACAGGCACATGCCACCAAGCCTGCCTAATGTGTCCTCTTTTCAGAAATGCCTATTCAGATATTTTGCCGATTTTAAAAATCAGATTTTTTTTTTCCTATGGAGTTAT